TATTATTATTATTATTATTATTATTATTATTATTATTATTATTATTATTACTACTATTGTTGTTGTTGTTGTTGTTGTTGTCGTCGTCGTATTTAATTAAAAATGTTGCGCTCACATTGATGTCCATTTTCTTTTTTTAACATAATTCTACATTATACAGTTTAACATGGAAAACTTTTGTGTCATAATTTATTCGTATGTACATATATTATGAATATTTAATAAAGTTACGATTCGATCGAAAATATCGAGTATCTCCTGGATCGTTCAATCCAACTCAACCCTCGATAGAACAACGTCCAATCTTTTGCCTTTTAATACGAAAAACAACACTGCGAACAGTTAATGAAAAATCACTATATGTATACACATCTAGAGATACAGTGAAATTTTTCATTGTAAAGCGCGAGAACTCACGCGAGGATGTCTTGACTTTTCGCTGCTCGAAGCTGCAAAATTAAAGTGATAGATCAATGTTAAGGAAAACAGGAAAACGTTAGTAAGTATATCTTGTAAACCTACAAAACAATGCATTTTTGTTTTCTAGCTCCTTGGTAAAATTGTTCAGCATTTTCTGATACTCCTCTTGTTGCTGTAATATTGACATCAATTATTATTTAATACAATAAGTTCTTACTTAATTTTTTTTCATTTTTATAAAATTGTTTACCTTTATTGCTTCGTTCCTAAGGACCTCTCGTCGAACAGACAAACTCGAAATTTGATTTTGTAACATTTTCACCTGTAAAATGCGTAAAATCACGTTAAACTATAAATTACTCAAGTTTTCGCGGGTAAAACGTAATCCGTCTAGCCTCTTCCTCCGTTTTTTGAACGTCCTTCTTCAACTCGGTCATCAACGATCTATATCGGTCTCGACAAGTCGACGTTTTCTTCTCCAAATCGGTCAGAACCCTTTCCGCATTTTTTATTTCGCAATGCGATCGCTGTAACTATATTCGTCAAGAAAATAATGATATTTTGCATGTTTACTTAAAAAGATTCCTATGAAATTATCGACTCTCACCGTACGTTCCTTCTCCGTAAGTTTTTCCGTTAACACTTCCAATTTATCGTCCACGCTCTCGTGACCCTGAAACGATCGATAAAATTGTCAATATAGAATCTTAAATGTAATGTACCAACACCATGGTTAGTAGTATGTTTTTATTGGAAAATAATGTTTATAACTGACCTCGACTGGGAATTCCGTTTCTAAGTTTTCGTTTTGAAACACGACCTAAGATATATAATTTAAATTACCGATGGAAATTATAGATCCAACGTTTACGATCTTATAGCATTTACAAGTAAAAGGACTGTATTAAACTTACGCATTTTCTTAATTCCTCCGTCCGAGTTTGATACTTCGTCGTATTATCGATAATATTATTAATTAGTTCAAAGTATACGCAATTGCAACGAATGAAAAATATTCTTACCATTACTAGAAGGAACGCGACTACGCAATACACTACGAATACAAAGATACACAATATTTCAAAGATGTAAACAGTCAACAGTACAAACCACATAACGAAAGATTTTGTCGCCGTTAGATTTCAACTAGAAACACTTAAATTTGTTATAAATATCATTTTAATAATAAAAATCGAAGATCGTGATGAACAACTAAAATGAACAGTTGGGATGTCTGAATGCGGCGCGGCGGTTTTAATTTGAAATAAACTTTTTATCGTATCGATTCTCGAATTGAAATATCTTGACGATCGATCGATATATCGTGTTGGGGCGTAATATTATTTTTAAAATGTACACGGTTTTTAACAATTACAATAATGAATTATGTAATCAATGACAATGTATATAAAATTTATACAGTATCACGACGACTTTTTTATAATGATCAAAATATTTTAAATACATTATACGATCGTTATAAGTTATCTCATGCTACATAACGAATATAACGAATTCGCACAATAGATAAACTAAGATTAGAACGTACTTCAATAACCACTTCTAGTTCTGAAACTTTTAATTATATTTTATTGACAGTAGAAAATATTGTAAATTAATATATTTTATTGTAATCTCTAGAACATATATGAAATACGATAAAACGTATATAAATAGAACGTATATTTAAGTACATATATGCTCCAACAATCCAGATGGTTTGGTACTCTTCTCCGTCTAAACGTTCAAACAAACCAACATAATTATTATTCTAATCATAATTTAATGCTGAGACACGTATACTTAAAATGCGTTTACTTACCATTCCTAAAGAAAAAAACCTTGAATGCTAACAGAAATTATTCGACTGATATAACCTATAAAAATGGAATATTTACAGTTGGGCAAATTAAGAAACACAAGAATTTTAGAAAATTCGATAATGTCTGTTACTTTTCATCTCAAACAACAATGTTACCCTCGCAATCGCAAATTGTTATTGCGGGCGCGGGAACAGTTGCCAATTCAGTCGCTTATCATCTTGTTATTAATGGATGGAATGACATACTCGTCCTAGAACAAGATAGGTATACGTTAATTTGTCAAATAGGATAAATTATAGATAGAACAATGGATGATAAATCATCATTCACTGTATTAACACTATAGACTTTTGTATTCATAGTATTGTATACTTTGTATCAAGACAACACAAAATTTTCATTTCAATAGCAAGTAACATACTATTGATTATATTTAAAACTTTTATCAACAAATGTAGGAAGATTAAAGAAATTTTTGTTGCAGAATTGGAACCGGAACATCTCACTTTGGTTCAGGCACGCTTGGTCTTTTTAAACCAATATCGCATAGAAATTTGATTTCCTACAGTATTAAATTATATCAACAACTACACGAAATGGGATACGATATTGGACTAAAACAATGTGGTAGCATAAACTTAGCTCAAAGTAAAGACAGAATGATAGCTTTAAAACGAAGAATGGCTTATAATGTCCCTACCGGTTTATACTGCGAAGTACAATTTTTTTTTATTAAATGTTAAAATTGAAGTAGAAATACAATGGACTTTTAATGATTGATAAATTGATTAGGTATTGGGAAGAGAACAACTAAAACAATTACATCCTTATTTGAATATTGAGGACATTGAAGGTGCAGTCTGGGTACCTGAAGATGCAGTAGCCGATTCTAGCGCAATCTGTAATGTCTTAGCTAAATTAGCGAAAATTGGAGGCGCGAGATATATTGAAAATTGTAGAATAGAAGAAGTACACACTGAGAATGGAGCTGTGAAAAGTGTAAAAACTGAACATGGTGTAATTTTATGCGAATATTTTGTCAACTGTGCAGGAATGGTAAAATCAGTTTTTTATGCAATATCATGTTTTTCATTTACTGTTTACAACATTTTCATACCATTATTAATCATTACATCATCGTCCAAAATTTACTAAACAGTGGGCACGCGAATTAGGCTTACGATGCAGTCCACCAGTTAGAATTCCAGCATACCCAGCTGAACATTTTTATGCAATTGCTTATCCTTTTTTACCAAATTCAAATACAACTTTACCATGTATACGAGATTTTGATTCACACTCTTACATGAGAGAATGGCACGGTAATACGTAAATTTTGTTTTGTATTATAATTATTATACATATTTTAAAGGCTTTTCCAAAAGGGACTATATGGTTTTGTTACATAATAAAACACAAATTTGGAAGATAATATCGTTTACGTGTCCATCGTGACTATACCATACTATAGTAGTACATAAAGTTCCTTTTGGAAAACTCTTTATTTAAGCCTTATAAAGTTTATTACTCACACTACGAATTTTCTGTATATGTTGACCAGATAATAAAATATACAGATTTTCCATATTACAGAAAGTTTACTAGTTGGCTGGTTTGAACCAGAATCAAAACCTGCGTTTGAAAATGGTACTGTTCCTACAAAAAACTGGAAAAATTATCTTAAAAATGATCCATCACATTGGACACCACTATGGGATAAAGTGGTACATAGGCTACCAATTTTAAAGGACATCAAACCAGATGTATATAACTGTCCTGATAATTTTACACCAGATGGTAGGTGGATATTAGGAGAGAGTCCAGAAGTAAAAAACTATTTTGTTGCTGTTGGCATGAATGGAAATTCTTTACAAGGTAAAGAAATTGGCGAATTTTTGAAGTATATTTTCATATTAATCTTATGAACTGCTTTTATTAGGGGCAGGAGGAATAGGTAAAGAAGTTGCAGAGTGCTTAATAAATGGTGAATCTACGCAAGAATTACTTCCCTTCAATGTACAGAGATTTCTAGACTTACATAGCAGTAAACAGTATTTACAACAAAGAACAAAGGAAATAGTTGGTAGAAATTATGCAATCCTATATCCTCATCAATGCGAGTATAAATATGCTCGAAAGTTACGCTGTTCGCCTTTATATTCTGTTCTCGAAGATAGAGGTGCAATTTTTGGTGTCAAAATGGCTTATGAGCGACCACTTTATTTTGATTCGACTTATAGAAGTAAGGGAATAGTCGTTAGTTCTTTTTTCTCTCATGTTACGTTCAAGCGAATAAACTGCAATTAATTTAATTAAAAGGAGGACAAAAGAAGCCAGTCATGCCACCAGGAAGCTTTTACAAACCCAAGTTCTTTGATTTTATAAAAGAAGAATTTTTAGCATGTAAAGAAGGAGTAGGAATCATAGATATGAGTTCATTTTCTAAAATCAAAATTAAAGTGAGTATGCAAAATGTGACTATTTTTAAACGTTTTTATGTAATCACATATATGTTCACAGTCTAGTCATTTGGAAGTTGTAGAATATCTTCAGCAATTATGTTCTAATGACGCAAATATACCAGTTGGTGGTATAGTACACACAGGAATGCAAAATGAAAGAGGTGGATATGAAAATGATTGTCTCTTAGTGAGACAGTCAGAAAATAGTTACTTTATGGTTTCGCCTACATCACAACAAACACGCATTTACCAATGGATGTCGAGGTAATAAAATATATCTCGGTACTATTTACAATCACATAGATCACTTTCCTAAAAGGACTACTTTGTCGCATAGACATTTACCAGCAGATCACTCGGTAGGCCTTAATGATGTAACTTCAAAGTATACTGTTATTAACTTAGTAGGACCTAAAGCAACAGGACTACTGTCAGAACTGTCGAATTCTAACATTAATCTTTCTCCATTCACATATAAGGTACATAATAATACTATCAGTATTAATTACTTGATCAATAAATATATAATTTCACGTATTTTCCAATATAATTTTGTGAATAATTATAATGTTAACAGACTGCAAATGTAGCATATGCTTCTGATGTAATGATAATGTCATTCACAAATACCGGTGAATCTGGTTATTGTTTATACATACCTACAGAGTATGCACTTCACGTATACTCTAGGTTAATGGAAGTAGGCAAAGATTATGGTGTTCGAGATGTAGGTGTACTCACACAACGTTTCATGCGAATAGAAAGGTTTATTCCTTTCTGGGCTGAAGAATTAACACCATTTGTTACTCCGTATGAAGCTGGATGTGGATACAGTGTAAAACTAAATGTAAGTAGATTTGTCTTATTGTTAGTATGATTTCTTCATCTTGATAGAATTAATATCATACTTAGTTTTATAGTTATTTAGATTACTATAGATACAACATTTTAAAAGTTTTCGCTAACGTGATCATTGTTGCCACAGAAAGAATATTTTATTGGGAAATTTGCTTTACAACATCAGAAAGAACAAGGTGTGACAAAACGATTAGTATTATTTGTCGTTAATGAACTGGATATAAACAAAGATGTATGGCCCTGGGGTGGTGAGCCTGTTTATCGAAACAATGAATTTGTAGGAACTGTTACATCAGCAGGGTAAATGTTCATGATGATTAATAATGCAATATACTTTTATTTCTGACATCAAATTATTTACGAATTGAATTTATAGGTACGGTTTTGCAACAGAAAAGCATATTTGCCTTGGTTTTATCAGCTCTCCTAGTCCAAGGCACATGCAACCTGATGCAAATATTGTTACAACAGATTTTATAATGGATCCGACAGCCCGTTACGAGATCGATATCGCTGGCACCAGATTTCCTGCTAAACCTCACATTCATCCTTTACCTATACCTGCATTAAGTAATAAAATAAACAAAAAATATACTCCTACCCCTGTTATTACTTATGAGAGTGACGTGTCTCGTTAATAATTTTTTTAAAACAGATTCCTTAAATTCAATGTGTCGATAAAAATAAAAATTTTAAATAAATGACAAATCTAGTTTGATTTATTTGCTAGTATATGTAATAAACAATCAAACATGAAGAAACAAAGTTATGCCATTTCCTCCTGAGACTGCTAGTTAGGATATAATTTAGTTGCTCCTTTTTATTCGTACAATATTTTATTTGATATTTACACAGAAGTATTCGATTTAAATTTATGCAATAAAAATATATTAACTTCAATATTCATAGTTTTTTTAATTGTTACTAATAAAGTGTATGTAACATTAGAAATTAAAATTAGAAAGCATGTCAATTTTTAATTGTAACATTTTTTTAAATTTTACAGTATTTGCAATTATACTAGATTAATATACATTTGAATGAATTTATTTATAGCAAATACATTTATACAAGGTTTATGTGGTCATTTAACAGTTTGAACAATATGCTACTTTCCAAAATATGTTATGCATATATACATTAGAATGACATTTAAGTCCAAAAAGCAACAATATATTTTGTGACTTATCACTTTTTACATTGCAAATATAAATTTGATATATAATTTACCAGTATGCTTTATCTGTAAATTATACAGGGTGTCCCAAAAATGTTGTAACACCTTGAAAGGGGTGGTTCAGGAGGTGATTTGAAACAACTTTTTCCTTAGCGAAAATGTTGTCCGAGGTTTCGTTAAGGAGATATTAAGCGAAAACCCCGACCAATCAGAACGCGAGTATACCGGTTGAGCGTAGGCTACGCGATAAGCGGCCGCGTTCATACGCTACCGCGAGCGCTCCATCGGCATCCTCGCGCTCTGATTGGTCAGTGGTTTCCGTTAATATCTCTTCAACGAAATCTCTGACAACATTTCCGGTAAGGAAAAAGTTGTTTCAAATCACCCCCCGAACCACCTCTTTCAAGGTGTTACAATATTTTTGAGACATCCTGTATACCTGTTTGTCGTAATTTGTATTTTTACTATAATTATATTGACTAACTTATATACAAGTAAAACACTTGCTTACTATTATTTGTGAAGCTTCTTTGTACGTCAGTAAAGATGTTTTTACTTTATGCATAAAAAGCAATCTGATTTTTATAAAAGCTTCATTATTATTTTGATCAATGTTTTAAACTGTACATGAAAAAATACTGCAATATTTACTTTGAAATAATTACATAATATAAATTCCTGAAAGTAACGATTCATGTAACATTATTGAGTTCTTGCACAATGTGTACTTAATTTTAGCTATCAGTGTGTAATAAAATTTATTTTAGAAGTATTGTGATACCACTTTATGATGCCCATGCTTCTAATTCTTTCAAATCATCGTCTTCTTCTGGTTTGGCTTCTAAATAAGAAAAAAATAAATGTAGGGACAAACTACATACAAATATAATAATACATTTCACAAGAAATTATAAATACTACTTGTACGAGTCCTGGCTGGTGCAGCTGGAAGTGTAGTAGCTGGAACATTTGGAAGTTCATCTGTAGGTTCGATACCAAGCAATTCCTGGTCAAGTTGTTCTTGTTCAAGTTCTTCCAGTTCCTTCTCTAGTTCTTCTTCGTCTATATCTTGACCAAATGCTACAGGATTAGATATTGCATCAGAAATTTCTCTTGCTACATCTTGTTGTTCAGCTATATCATCCATCATGTCGTGCACTTGATCAACATCCCTGAGAAAAATATGATATCTTGTTAAAGTCTATATTGAAGTTAAGTAATAATTTCATAGAACTTCTAAACTTCTAAATTTCTTACATATGTTGATGAACAGATTTTAATGCATCTGCTGCATTCTTCATTGTTGTAAGCACAGCAGTATTTGTATTTGCACTTTCAAGTGCTTCCCTTTGCATTTCAATTGTAGACAATGTGCCATCAATTTGTTGTAATTGTTTCTCGTATCGCTTCTTTCTTTTAAGAGCTTGAATTGCAGCTGTAAAATAAATCTTTATTAACATCTTATTCTCTTGCATTAATTAAACAATTAACAACTTAATACAAACAACTATAATGTAGTTCTCTTCTAAGTTAAAATCAAAACATGTGTTCGAATGAAATCTACATGAACTCTTGTGTCCACATTTTCTTTACTAATGCAATACAGAATGTGCGAACAAAGTACGATCACAGGCAGGCAATTCTAAATCAGACACATAATATATATCCATTCAAATTTTTTATATTTTAACTTAGAAAATAAATACGCTACGCCACAGTTCCTAGAATCACCCTATATAATAAAGAAACGTCATAATGACAAGTGACCTTACTCGTGGAGTATTGTCCGTAAACAATGATAACGAAATCAAAAATGATCGTAGATACCTCTCCTGTTTTTCGTTCCATTTTTCTTGGCAACCTGAATTTCAAGATCTATTTTACTTTCAAGGAAATCTTGTTTCTTAATCAACATATCTTCTGTTTCGCGTAATTTTTGTATCGCCTCGGCCGTCGACAAAGTGGGCGATTCCTTTTTACCACCGAATACTTTGCTAAAAAAACTCATTGTCCTAAAAAATTGTGCTCTTAACTTATATTATAATCACACTCTTGGACACTGCAAACACTATCCACATCCACCTTTAAACGAAATCAACAAAAGATCGCACACCGACCGCGCATCATCGCCATACTTCCTTGGCTCTCATGTACGATGTCGTCATGACTCATCGTCGAGTTCCAACATTTTTTATTTCGTTCAGTTATCGGAAATTAGAAATTATTTAATTTATTTACCTGACATTTTAACATCTTTTAAAATTATTGCTCGTAACAAATTAACTAAAAATGTAACGAAGATTGATAAATTAATATAGATTTTGTATATTTCTTTTTTCCATATAAAAGAATATTCTATCTTCAGAATAAATTCTTCGAATTAGATTTTTTATCAAGAAACTATTTGTGTAGGCGATACAAATTTTATTTTGTAATATTTTATTCATAAAATGATACGTCAATTTTTTCATTACGAAAGTATATTTATATAAAAATATTGAATGCATTCAACACTGGAAATGCAATTTGGAAAAATCATTTGGTGCTAAAATCTTAAATTATTGCTTCGAAAAATTGTATTTTGTAAAAGTTAAATGTATGGAAATGCTTTTCGTCATAATATGTTATGTATTTTTTATTATTATTTCAAAATCATCATTATGCGCTAAACTGTACATAAAAAAAAAAATGTATATGTAAATAAATAATTGTTTAATACCACATGTTAGCTTTTTGTAATGTGTGACAGTTGATCTATTTATGTACATGTGTATGTATGTATGTATGTATACATGTAACAACCAAGATGTACATAGATAAGTATATGTATACACTAGGTATGCACCAGTATGCACTTATGATGTAATAAATGCGTTAAAATAGAGGAAAAAATATTTCGTACAGTATTATATGATAGAACGTTTTATTATTTCTCAATTGTTACATTTAATGAGATTTGCAAATTTCTGAATAACCTCTAATGATGGAGAGCAATCAGACAAATGTAAGTTTATATCATGAATGACAATATTGTGTCTTATATTTTAAGATTTTCTTCTATCGCTTCGTAACCGTTTCTTTATGCCTCTTTGTCATGATACAAGAAACTACATTTGGCTTGTCCAACATTTCGTAAGAACATTTAAAAATAAATATACGCGACGACCAACAGTATCGCTTTCTTTCCCGGGTTCTTTTAAGTTTAGTTGAGTTTAGTCACTATACACGATGCGAAGCACATGGAGAGACAGGGATCGGGTATAATATTTTCCTGTGAAATTACTATTAAAATTTATAATTATCAAGTAAATCAACAAAAATTTTGATTTTTGTGACAAGTCAAATTTTAGTGATTATTTCCTTTTAAACTTGTAATTTGCTGAAATTTTTGTAAAATACAAACATAAATTAATATTTATTTATTTATAATTATAAAATATCAATGAAGATTACATTTTGTAACAAGAACTGTGTTGTTAGGACTTCCAGAAACATTTAGCTGATGGTGAAACTACTGAACGTCGCTTAAAAGAGACTTTACATACCACGTATACAGATAATGAACCACTACCAGGATTCGATCCTAATAAGGACGATCTTCAATATTACCGTGCTCAACATTGTATTGATTGCGATGAAGTGTATCCTGGAATATACATTGGTGATGCGTAAGTATTGTGAAATGTTTTTTAGAATACAAGTTATTGTTTGTAAATAATTCATACATAATATTTCATAGGGCTACAGCAAAAAATAAGAATTACCTTAAAATGTTAGGCATAACGCATTTGTTGAATTCTGCTGAAGGAAACAGATTTGGATTTGTAAATACAGATAAATCTTATTATCAAGATACAACAATAAGGTATCTTGGTTTACCACTTGCAGATTTATTTACTACAGATATTAGCAAGTACTTTTATACTGCTGCAGATTTTATTGATGAAGCTGTCTCTACAGGAGGTAACTTTGTAATCATTTAGTAACAAATAAAAAAAATAAAGCATTATAAAATCAAAGATATGTAAATATGTAAAACTGTCTTATTTATCTTTGGATATTTTTTGTTTAGGTAAAGCTTTTGTACACTGCATGTTAGGAATATCACGCAGTGCAACATGTGTATTAGCATATTTGATGATAAAAAAAGAAATGTTAGCTGTTGATGCTGTTCGAATAGTTCGCAAAAAGCGTTGTATTCAACCAAATGATGGCTTCCTTCGTCAGTTAGCACAATTAGATAATCAATTACGGAGGCAACGTTTATAATTAAATACAACGCTAATGAAAGTATTAAAAAGTTTGGTAAAATATGTTAAGAATGTTATACATACATGCACAAATACTTAATTTTATAGGCATATATTTCACATGAATAGCTTCATGGTGTTTAGACACGCACCCTGCAATTTAATATTTTAAGCTTACACGCTATTTACGAACTTCTCTATAAATTGTGTAAAACATAAAAATTTATTTTTTTACACAAGTTCTATATTTTAGATTACTTTATTAATTGAATGTATATTTATTATTTACAAATTTAAAAAGGAAGGATTCCATTATAATTATATAAAATGTATATAAAAGAAATATATAATACTTGATGTACTACATGACTTCTTACATATCATCTTTTCCTTTGATGAATTGTATTATTTAATAAATTATTAAATCAATACTGCAATACACAAAACTCGACACAACTTGATTATAAATTACATATTACTACGTCTATTCGTTAATTTACCACCCGTGGCCTCTTCGAATGAGCTTCCACGAGTGTACATGAATGATTTGGCGTTCCTATTTCATTTATATTATTTGTATCTTGCGGGCCGCTGCGTTTTCTTGCCTTCGGAGATAATTGCTTTAAACATTCCATATCATTAAATACAACTTGTGCACCTCCTCCACTAGTTGGTAATATATCTCCCTAATATGATAATCATACATTTTATAATATCATACACACACACTTTGGATTTATTCGCAATCAAACTACCTTGTACAGCTTTGTTTCGAGTTCACCATCCGTGTCGTGTTCCTGCGCGACGAGACAATATCTAGATGCACCATCCGTAATCTCTTTTGGATCTGTAAGTTGTGTAATACTACGTCTCCTACGCATTAATGGTTGAAATACAGTTCCCAGAGGAACAAGTGCTCCTGGTCTGTGATCAACCCATCTGTCAGCACTTTGTGAGCGTCTATGCCTTAGATTTGAAACAGTAATTTTATCCTGGGGACAAAATTCATTGAAACTATATGTTTTTAAACAAATACAAAAACAAGGAAAAATTAGAGACAACCGACCCTTCGCGATCGAGCATCCGTCATTTTTGTAGGCGCTTCCGAGGCAGGTGTAGCAGGAACTCGATCTTTGGAAGCAACAGGCGTGGAAATACCATTATCATCAACTAGAATTTGCTTGACCAGTCTCAATTTATCTTCCTTTTCCTTCATTTGATTCTAAGAAAATAACAAAATTTCATAAAAACTATATATGTCTAATTAATATACTAATATTTGGCAAAATTACTTCATTCTATTACCTGTAACTGTTCACGTTGCTGACGTAACTTTACTTCTAATTCTCTATTCATTTTGTCAGTTTCCACTTGCATTTTGGTATTATATTTTTGCTTCACTCTTTGTTTATCTATCAAACGTTGATTTAACGCCATGTCTCTATCTTTTAACTGTAAAACACTTCTGTTTAATTGAATGTAAAAATTTAAATCAGAACAAAATCATATATTTGTTATCTACCTCTTGCTGCAAAGTACGTATTGTATCATTTGCGTGATTTAGTTTACGAAGCAAACTATTAATTTGTTCTTCAGTTTTACATAAATGACCTTCCAATGCGGAAACCTACAAATAAATATATGTATTACTTCGCTCATATTTATGTCCAGAATGCGGATAAGAAATTCATACCTTTTTTTTCTGTTGTGAATTAGTTGCTTTTAGAGAAGCATTTTCAATTTTAAAATTCAAATTTTCTTGTTCTATTGTCATTAACATCTTTCTAAAATCGTTTTCTGTAAATACAGTACTCAACTGTTAAGTGATTTTTAAATCGTACTAAAAAATAAATAACATTCTTACGTTTTTGTTGCACATCAGCGCGTAACAAATTCCGATTATTAATGCGCTGTTCCAAGTAATGCATCAAATTAGTAATTATTTGATCATTACATGGAGAATTAAGTTCCAACTCAGGAAATGGACCACCCAAACTAAAGTAAATATATATGAAATAAATTTGAAAAAGAAAAATAGGAAAAGATAGAGAGAATAAAAAACATTTACCTATATACCAAAGCTACATCGATCTCTAGATCGGCAGCTTCGAGCCGACCTCCCTTTTCTAATTTACTGCGCGCTTCCTTAAACAGCTGTTGAAAATTATTTATAAATATATAATAAAATTACATTTGGTCATATTCTTTCAATCTCTATCTTACTTTATTTGCCTGTCTTCTTCCAGGTGTGAAACCAAGATCTACTTTTGTGACTGTTGGTCGAGCGACTTGAACTTCCTGAGTGATTTCCGCGAATTTCATAACTTGCTGTAAATATATTATTATAAAAATCGATTTGTTTGTTTTATATTCTGATGAAATTTCTAGTTCCTTACATACAATTGTCTCATCGAAATCTTGCGCCCTTGGATTAACACAGACAATCATCCTCACTTGTCCTTCTCCATCAAAGTAATTTTTGAACAAATGAGTAAGTTTTGAATCCCTGTAGGGTACCATTTTATTTGTACCCTGGATTTGATTTTCTCTTAAAATTTCCAAACACGATCGAAGTGTCATCAAGGAATTATTAATATTACCTAAATAAATAAAATAATTAAATGCTTTTGAAAGAGTATGATAAGTTAATTACAATTTTTGCATCTAATTGTAAGAATGGTAACCTGCTTCTCTTAGCCGTTGCCCTGTATTTTTTGTCCGATTGGTTCTTTCACTGCCAGCTAAATCTACTAAAGACAACTGAGTGATACATACTACACGTTTGTCTTGTATAATTTGTTCACCTTCGCAATCTAAGGGTGCCTATAAACGAATAATGTTAACATGCTTATAATTATTTATTATATACAGAATTAAGGATTATACCTGTACAAGACGAATTGTAAAGACACTATGCGATCTGCTCGATTCTGCGTTAAGAGCAGTATGTGCAACTCTTCGTCTGCGTTGACCGCGTTGAAATACTTCAAATGCTTCTTCTGAGCTTTTTACTTCAATTTCTGTTACAGCATGTACATACATGTTTTTATTGCCATCTTCTCTAACTATTTTACTCTGTAATGTTCTGTAGATTGTTCCAAAAGATTATCATGTTATTTTTAAACTACAAGAATTTGTAAGTTACAAGTGAATTTGTAAACATACTTAGCTCTAATTTCATCATCCTCCAACAAATCATATACACTATTATTATATATTTCAACATAAGTAACAAATACTGCATAGGCATTGTCCTGATCCACTATTATTACTTGCGATTCATCAACCTCACGAACCATCATTGGATTACTGTCAGTATCACTGTCAGCTTTACGTCTAATAAAAAAATTATTATTAATTAATTATTTTCTATTCAAGAGTCTATTCAATATAGGATATATTTAATTTTTCTACTGACATTCTGCCCGATTTTCCATTTCTCTGAGACATAATTCCTGCATGAAGTTCATTTTGCCTATCAAGCATTGCATCAGCATCACTTTGTACATCAAAGCCATTTAATTTGTCTGGCTTAAAAATAAACTTTTTTGTTTGATAATTAGCAATACTGTTAAAAATAACATCAAGACACCGAGCCATTATACCAACATCTTGTGGCTCACCAGTCATTGTATATGTTTTACCACTACCTGTTACTCCATAAGTAAACAAAAGGCTATTTTTACCACGAATAATATTTTCAACTAAGGGGAGAGCAACTATATTAAAAATCTCTTTCTGTGTTGCTTCAGGAGTAAATACACGACTAAATGTTGTTTGAATCTCTTTGTTGCTACAATTACGAAAATTCATTGATGATTCTGGTGGTGTGATAGCCAAAGTGGTGTTCGATATAACTTTCATACATGATACATCTGTAGGATGTTGCATTGGCCGTAAACGACAATAAACTTGAACTGGATCTTTAGATAGCATATTGTTGCATTTTGGACGGCTTGTTGGTTTACGAGCTGAACTTGCCGGTTTTATACGCCTGTAATATTAACATAAAATATTTATTTCCATTGTTTATAAACACCATATATTGAAAGTAATTCTAGTATCAAAAACAACGTACACAGACTTCATTTTCTTGTAGTTGAACTTATCACTCAATATCAATTAATGTAAAAATTGTTTTCCTGTTTTCGATTTACACGTCGATCTGTAACGAACCGTTGTCAAAACTTAGTTTCAAAATAACGATGCACGCATTGCTGCCAACATTTGCACGAAAAAGTCTCTATGATTTATAAAACTAGTATAATGAAAATATCCCCAAAGAAATTTAGAACTATAAAATTTATATAAACTGTTGTATGGGCGTTTAGGAATATTTCAATTTATTTAATTATTTGGGAAAATTAAACAAACACGTCTTGCTTTGAACAGTTATGTTTAATGAATGCCAATTGAATATAATAATTTTAACAGTAAAATGTTATTTGTTTCTAAAACAAAATTTACAACCAATCAAATCAATCATTATATCTTAAATTTATGTAAAGATTTTACGATTGGTCTCTTAATTATAATATTTGTTTTAAGAGTGAGTGATTTACACCTCAGCAATTCTTTTACATAACAACGATCTTGTGCCTTACTTCAGTTACACCACTGTACAATATTGAATTTGGGCGCGTTAGTTAATTTAATAGAATTCCGCCGAGGGGAGCCACCAGGACACACAACAAAACTATTCATGTATGCATATAAATTATAAATCTAAAGCAGTTTACGATTCAATATTGATATTCGCTATGTTAACAAAGGAAAATAATTGTTCAGAATTAATAGGACTTTTAATAGATTCTTAATACAAATTCAAGAGCATAATTTAAAAATTACGAAAACAAAAACTTCTTCATTTATCAGTATTTTAACTAACTAAACGTGCTGAATACGTAATTGAAACTATCTTTTTTTCTCACAGACAACAATAATTCTCATGACCATGCAAATTTAATAAATATTTTATCACAAAATATTAGTACAAAAATCATTTCTACTAGAAAAAACGATGTAACAGATTTGTAAACAGAAATGTATTTCTTATTCAAGAATTTATTTTTATATTTATACAAAGTCACAAAGCTTAAAGTTATTTTTTAGGCTTCTTGTCCTTAGTAGTAGCAGCTCCAACCTTTGTCACATCATCAGGATTTTCTGCTGCTTCTTTAACACGCTTTGCACGAATTCCAACTAATCTAGCATCAGCCCTAGCTTTACGGACAGTTATATATGCAGAGAATTTCTTTTCCTCCTCAGAAATGACACGAGCCTTTGCTTTGGCTGCTGGTTGATGTCTTATTGGCATAACTTCTCCTTCAACTTGAGTTGCAACTTTCATCTCCTCTTCAGTTGCTTCACCCTTCTTAGGCTGTTTTTATAAATAATACATAGAATTAATTTTATTCTTTAATATGTTTAATACTTTCTTGTATGCATACTTACTTTCTTTTCATTTAGAGGGAACAATATCAATTTTGACTTATATTCCTTCAATCTTTGAGCATTTGTTTGCAAAGACTCAACTGACTTGTTTCGTCTTCTAGGGTCTACCGCAATTCCAATAGTTCTAGCAAATCTTTTGTTTAAACCGCTAGCTTTTATTTCGGCCAAAGTAAAACCTTTGCCAGCTCTAACTTTCGTGTGATAGCGAAAAGTTGGACAATGAACAACAGGTCTCAACAGCTTAACAGGTCTAAACAAAATAAGTTTGAACTTAGTAGCTAACAAAGGAGAGAAACAAAAAATACTATGTAGTGGAATTAATATACTTTATTTACCTTGGTGCAAGAGTACGTGCTTTCTTCACACGATTTTGTTTACGACGGTATTTTCTAGCTGGCTGGTTGAACCAGGTTTTTACAAACCTTTGCCAGTCTTTGTGAAAGTGCCCATTAGGGATCATATTATTTCTTTTGCCCATGGTTGAGCTGAAACAAGAACAAGAACTCCAGAAATTTCTCATCAAATGTTTTATGAAGTTTGTATTATCTTTTAAATATTCCAGACAATGTTACTGTTAGTACTATTAATTATTAAGACATCATATTTTATTACTTATTTCTGTATTCATTAAAATGAATGCACTTAATTGTACAATAGGTTAGAAATATGTTGTCTATACAAATTGTAAACAAATGATTTAATGTTATTTAAAGGGTAACATTTCATATTTTTAAAGTAATTTTATGTTAATATTGTTATACCATATCAATTTTCAAAATAAAAAAAACCTATTTCGTTTAATTGTCATACAAATCTAGGCGAACCTAACCTCTTTACTAGTGTCAAAAGATGATTATTCTTATTAAACTATAAAATGGCAAATATATCGTTTAATCGCGATTGAAAATCCTGACAACAGTACTTTCTTATTATTACGCGAAGTATTAATTCAAGATGTTAAGTATTCAGTTGGATTTCAATCACACAATATTACTTACGAAGTTGTTTATACGGAGTATACCGGAAAAGGAATCAATTCAACGAAACGGAAGTTACATCTTGTTATAAAATAACATGTATCTGTTAAATGGCATATTATTTATTTTTATATTAAAATTACATTTTTAAGGATATTTATAATCAAATATTAATTCATTTTATAAATATTATTAAGACAAAATGTTATATACAGGACACATATTTTCTAGAGTAGTACGTACAAACGTATATACATAATAATGTCGTACTGTCGTATATTTACATGCTAGAAGTTGTCCTATGACTCCTAACCAATGTAAATACTCACTTAGTACGATTGGAAAATAGTATTTGTATAAATAATTGAATAATAAAACTTAACAATGAAATTTACAAAATCATTTTGGAGAAATTTAGCTCCATTTTATAAGAATCATGTACTTTTTAAGAGTGTCATTAATCGACATGCTTCTACCGGTGCAGATTTATCCTTGGTATATAATTTTATTTTTTTACATACATATATGTATATACACTTAATATCAACGTTTTAATCACTTATTAATATTGCCTTAGGATGTAACACTTACACATTCAATAAAAAAGAATATAGAAAAATATTGGAGGGATAAAATTAATTTGCGTAAATATGATGAAACTGATAATATAAAGGAAAAGTTTTATGTATTGTCAATGTTTCCATATCCCTCTGGAATACTTCATATGGGTCATGTAAGAGTTTATACAATAAGTGATGCTGTTGCTCGTTTTTACCAACTGAAAGGCAAGTTTTCTATTATAAAAATGAATTAATCCTCTTATAAATTGTTTAGTTAATATTTCATTTTACACATTAGGAATGTTCACCTATTTTATAATTTAACTACAGGATATAATGTCCTTCATCCAATGGGTTGGGATGCATTTGGATTACCTGCTGAAAATGCTGCAATTGAAAAGCAAGTTGATCCTGTTGAATGGACAAATGACAACATTATACGAATGCGAAATCAAATGAACTTGTTGAATTATAATTTTGATTGGGACAGAGAATTTGCAACATGCGATCCAGAATATTATAGGTGGACACAAGAGCTATTTTTAAAACTTTTTGAAAAAGATTTAGTTTATCAGAAAGAATCATATGTTAATTGGGATCCGATTGATCAAACTGTATTGGCAGAAGAACAAGTTGATGAGAATAATTGCTCTTGGAGATCAGGTGCTCAGGTAGAAAAAAGATTGTTAAAGCAATGGTTTATTAGAACAACACCATTTGCTCAGTAAGTACAGAATTTCTTAAATATTATAAATGTTGTAATTAAATTGAATATCTAATTATATATATTATTCATTTGTCATATATTAGATCATTGTTAAATGGATTATGTAATCCGATATTGAAAGACTGGAAAGACATTATAAAAATACAAAAGAATTGGATAGGTGAATGTAATGGGACTAGTTTTGAATTTCAATTAATATCAAATATCCCAAATTATCCAAAAACAATAAATGTTTGGACCAATGTCCCAGAATTTATTGAATATGCAAAGTTTGTTGCAATCTCTCCAAAGAGTTTACTAAACTATTCAGAGTATTGTAAAGATGTAAATGATGAAATCAAAGTAATGAATGTTAAGGTATTAAATCCGTTCAGTGGAGAAGAAATGCCAGTATTTATAACAGATAAAGTTGAATATCAACCTTTCAGAGACACATACATTGGTATACCTTCTGCTTCTATGGACGATTATAATTTTTCTGAAGCAGTTGGCATTGAATTTCTTAGACATTCAATAAGAAATTACGAAGAACAACAACAGAAACTGTCAGAAGTATTGTCTAAAGCAAGAGAGTGGAAAATTGGCGGATATTCAGTTAGTTCAAGGCTGCAAGATTGGTTGATATCTAGACAAAGGTACTGGGGTACACCAATTCCAATTATTCATTGCTCAAATTGTGGAGCTCAACCAGTGCCATCAGAACAGCTTCCTGTTGTTTTACCAAAGATAACATCTTCATTTTCAAATAAAAAGTCTACATTACTTGATTGTAAAGATTGGTTAAATATTTCCTGTCCAAAATGCGGTGGACAAGCAACTAGAGAATCAGACACAATGGATACATTTGTAGATAGTTCATGGTATTTTCTGAGATATATTGATCCAAAAAATACAAAACAAATGTTTGATCTTGATAAAGTAAAAACAATATTCCCTGTTAACCTTTATGTAGGTGGAAAAGAACATGGTATGTAATCTGATGCTTACATCCTTACACGTATATAAAGAGCTTGTATGTATTTGAGGTTTTTTAAGTATGTTATATTTATAATTTTAGCCGTATTGCATTTATATTATGCCAGATTTATGAGTCACTTCTTGCACTCGGAAGGACTTTTACCCAGTCAAGAACCATTTCAACAACTACTTGTGCAGGGTATGGTAATGGGTAAAACTTACCAAATAGAAAATACAGGAAAGTATGTGAAGGCAGATGAAGTGGAAGAAAAAGAAGGACAATATGTACTGAGAAATACCAAAGAACCTGTAGTTATCTCCTGGGAAAAAATGTCTAAGTCAAAGCATAATGGTATTGATCCTCTTGAATTAATAGACAAGTATGGAATTGATACAACCAGATTGTTAATATTAGCTAATGTAGCACCAACTAAAAATAGAAATTGGTCTGACGAAAGTAAGTTGTTAGTAAATATTAGTATATTAAAATTTTTATTAAATATTACTAAATAACCATTAAAATTTGCTTATTAATCAAATCTAGCTATTCCGGGAATACTCAACTGGCAAAACCGTATATGGAATACTGTAAAATGGTTTATAGACTATCGAAACAGTGTAAGTCTAGAAGAACTTCAAACAACACCTACTGATCCCAAATTTGTTAAAGATGATTCATATATGTTTGATAGTCGAAATTATTTTTTAAAATCTACAACTTATAGTATAACTAACTCTCAGCAATTAAGTATTGCAATATCACGACTGCAAGGACTTACAAATAGGTACATGCATATGTATAGTATTTTAATACATTAATTATTACAGTGAATTCAAAATTTGTAACTTTCTTATATTTTCAATATTCAGTTTACATAAGGTATCGGTGGAATGTAAGAATAAAAGTCGTGAATTTGAGCGTGCATTAGCAGCTCAACTAATAATGCTTGCGCCATTCGCGCCACATTTTGCTTCAGAATTATGGGCAGCATTCTGCTCAGCTAAACATCACCTCATAAGTGAAAATGAAGTAAAATTGAATAAGAATGTCATGGAACAAGACTGGCCAGAAATAGATATGGAATATAAAATGGAATTGATACTATATGTAAGTTCATTACATTTATATGTATACATATCCTATGCTGTATACATATTATTTGTCATAATTGAATTGTTTTATTTTTGTTACATTGTTACATAAATGATTAATAATTCATAGAAGTGTAAATACTTAATTATCACCACGTATTTACATGATACAAATAATTTTATATAAATGTATAATTCACTATGTTGCATTAGGTGGATGGTACGTATTGTGGAAAACTCAAAATACCTAGATGCGAGTTGGATAAATTGTCACCTGAAGAAGCCTTGAACTTAGGAATGAATCAACCAGAACTCCAAAAAAGTTTGTGGAATAAGAAAATCACAGAGACTAAACTTCTTTCAGTGGCAGGCTACGATTCAAAGATGTACATTATTACAGAAAAACTTAAAGAGACTATAGCAACATAAAACTACTGAAGTCAGTAATAAGTGTTATAAATGCTATGAAAATAGTCTTTATTAAATTTTATATACTATGATATAAAATATTATAATATAGAATGACTGTAAATAATTAAACAAATTACATAAATAAACATGTTTTTTTACTAAAAAGTGAAGAGAATAAATTTGTATTAAATAATTATTCTTACCCAATATCATATTCCCCATCATAGTCATTATGTGGTATTGTTTCTAAGAATTTAATATAATCATGTGGTAATTGATTTTCTCGAGCTCCACTTAGTATTGTTTTTCTATATTGGAATTAATAAATAAAATTAGATATTGCTTCTATAATAAATCTTGACTATATTAAGTTTTATTTAAATAAATATAACATACATATACAATGGCGAAGGTCTTCTGTGTTGCGGTAGTAGTCGCAATTTAACATGATTATCTGGAGTATTACATTGTTGGTATACTCTACAGTTTAAAATGTTACCATCAGGTGTTTCTACGTCAACCATTAAAGGAAAATATAATTTATCCACAACACCTTCTTGACAATCTAGTGTAGGCATATTACATTCGTGTAATTCCCAAATTACTCCCCATACATTATAATTGTCCGTTGTAACAATTGTTGCTGAGCATCCACCCCATCTCTTGGAATGTGTTAAAAAGTCAAGTCTGAAATTCTATAGAATTCAATGTTTGCATAACACAAAATTTGCTAATTATATGATTGAATACAAAATAAATACCTTTATACGACCGATACCCTTATATACTGCGGTTGGATTATTTATATGTATCCTTTTCGTTAACATATTGCTTCCGTATGCAAAATATAAAAATTTGTTACACATTATAATAATTACTTTGATAATTATTCGAATTGTCTCGGCAAAATAACGACCAAGAATACCAAGATAAGCTAATACATAAGTATATAGGTTAAGATATCGTACATTATATATATGTATGTATGTAGGTTATTACTGATAAATATTATTTACACTTTTAAGAAGGTTTTAATCCATAACGTGATGTAAAAATACGAGTTGAAAATAAAAAACATATCTAACAATGATTAACATAAATTTAATATTACACTATGAAAATATATTTCAAAGTTCTACTCAATACACGAACATTTTCCCCACATTATTTTTAATGCTTACACGGATATAATTATTTATTCATTTACCAAATTTGTTACTTTTGCTTTGCAATATAAAACTGCAAACAGTGATTTATTGATTATCAAGGCACTTATGTTTAATTATGAATACATTTAATTAAAGTCTATTTATTTACAATTAAATTAGATTAATTAAATTTATAATTTGCATATATTTCTTGAAACATATCACGACAATTTATTTTAACTTGAAGCTTAGCGCATAATAAAAAAACTCCAGATAATTTCCTGTGTAGACTGTATATCTCTTCAGGTGGAGGGCAAAGTCTGTGATTCAGTATTGTTGGAACCAGTGATTGTATTCTAAAATAAATATATTTATTATATATATATCTTTAAATAAAAGTGAAAGATTTGTAATTCGTTACTATTGCTTTTACCGTTTAGTCACATCTTGTCCGCCAAAATCATAGTATTTATGATTTTTATCAAATACTTGGCCTAAAACCATGACTGTATCCACATGAGCTTCTTCCATAATCTAAAATCAAAACAATTCAAAACTATAAATACTGATACAATGCTTTTTATTCAACATATAATTAATATTATTAGGATATTTATTACTTTAGATTCATATCCTGTAAGAAATCCCATTTCTTTGGATAAATTTAAAATTGTATCACGATCACCTTCACTTGCAGCATAAATTATCTTAATGTAGTTGTCCATAAAGGATTTTTCGTATTCTCGGCATGCACCAAAATCTAATAATACCAACTGAAAATTACATAAAGAAGAGAGTAATTAATTATAATAAAAACTATAAAATGTTCCATTACTAATGTCAGCATATTAAAATATTCAAATACAAACCTGTTTAGTATTGGTATTGTAGAAAAAGTTCGACCAATTTGGATCTGTTTGCATATATCGGAAAACAAATAATTCTTTCAGACACAACTGCATTATCAGTTTGCAAATATATTCTCTCGTTTCCATATCCATACTTATACATTTATCCACTGGAATACCCTCTACCAATTCAGATGTAAAAACTTGGCTTGTCGATAATTCATCTGAACATAAAATCAAGTAATTATTTCAGAATGCAAAATATTAACTTATCAAACTCATACCTATTACTGCAGGTACATAATAATCCGAATAAGGTTCCATAAGTTTTTTATACTTTCGAGTACACTCCGCTTCTCGCACGTAATCAACTTCCCAAGCAAGTTCTCGTTTTGCAACTTCCACTAAATTATCTATAAACATGCCTTTTGGGAAGATATCCCAAACCTATAAAAATTAAGTTTTTCTTATCATTATGTTGATAACTAAAACGGGAAGGAATAAAACATGTAATGCATAATGGTACCTTCAATATGCCTACTAAATTCTCAACATCACTTTGAATTCCCATAGCTACACCAGGATATTGAATTTTAATTGCTACATCCTGACCATTTATTAAAGTACCATGGTGTACTTGGCCTATAATTTGTTTACAATAATATCAAATTTTCTTTATTTTATTCTTTTATTAAAACAAAAATTTACCAATAGAAGCAGCAGCAAACGGTTTATCTTCAAATGTAGCTAATTTATTTCTCCAATCATGTCCAAGTTCACTGACTACTACTTTCTAAAAATAATTGTATAACATGTATATGCAATAGAATGATTTTCAACTATAGGTAGTTGAATTTTGTTTGACCCCACTCTCAAAATAATTTTAATACATACAAAGATAATTCCTGTACAATATGAGCTTAGTGTTATAAGTCATTTTGTACATTTTTCCATTCTTCAAATGAGATCAAATTTTACAAGAATTATTTATAAAGTTTGCCTTAATGTACATATCATAAAGTTAAATACCTCAACTTGCCATTTTGGCATGAAATCAGCACTCTGTCTAACTCGTTCAAAAATTTTCTGTACTTCAGGATTAATAGTAGACTCATCTTGAATACTTAAAATTTGTCCAATTTTCAAGGCAGCACCTATTATAAAGCATGTAATTATTGATTATCAAAAAGTACAATAAATATATTATTCATACCTACCTCTTACTTTACACAATGTTGAAACTATTCTTTCTGCATTTGCTTTTGTAAGAAACATATTGTCAAATGTCTCTCCAAGGCTTTGTTTTTTTAATCCAAGTGTCCGACGTGTATACTCTGCTACTGTACCAACACCAAGGCCAATTCCTAATGTCCCAAAGCTCACCATTCTCTGCAATCTAGTAGATGGAACTTTTTGTGCTTTTGCGTTTGGTGAAAGCTTTGAAATAAAAATCAATTTATTAACAGAGTACCATACAAGTTATGTGAAATTTATAAATTAACTTACAGTTTGTTTTGGTCTAACAGATAGCCTAACTTGAGGTTTCTCTGGACTTGGTTTTATACTTTCCTTTACTTGACCTACTAACAACTGAGAATCAATTTCTGATTTTTCATTTTGTTTTACATTCTTATTTCTTATGTTTTGTTCGTGTTCTAATTCCAGTCTTCTCAAAATTTCTTTATCTTTGTCTGAAAGTTCAATCTTGGGTATCTCATCTTCCAGCTTAGAAATTGTTTCAATTTTTTCTTTCACAGTTGTATACTTTTTGATCATAGGTTTTTCTTGTTTCTCTTGTGAACTATTTACACTGTTAGATTTAATATTCTGTTGCGAACTTGAGACATCCATCTCAATCAGTATTTCTTTAGGATCTTTCGCGGGATTGTGAACATATAACTTAGTTTTATTAGGTTTTGTAGAATCAGATTGACTCAGTGGCATTCCTATGATTTTATTACTTTTTATTTTAACAAATTCTATTATACCTTTTTCCACAACATTCATGCGTTCAGCCACTTCTTTGAGTTCTCCTGCAACTTGACCCTGAATATACATGCATAATAAACAGGAAATTATTATTTATGTTTACAATGTTAATATAAATTAATAAATAATGTACAACTTATACCATTTTATGAAAGATCATCTATTATGTTATAAACAAACATAATTAATTTTCATTGATAATTAAAGTTATATTTTATGTAATTTTGCAACTTACAGGAACCTTACTTGGTTCTATATTATTCAGTTTCTTTATACCATTTGCTAGACATTGCTCTGCAACAGTTTTCAAACATGATGTCTGTACCGAATGTTTAATTCCATCTTCTTGATGTTTTATGATGGCATTGGTTACCATCTTAACTCCTCTGAGTACACCGATGAGATCAGACATCCAAGGTTGAGACATTCTATGACAAATTTCAACTAAATATTGATTCTATATATAAAGAATAATTGTAATAATTTTGAAAATAATTTTTAAATTTTATTTATACTATGTGTTACTTCTTTTTCTTTTTAATAAGAGAGCATTAAATAATTCGCATCAAACTACTTATAAGGAGTGTTACGAATTCAGAAAATTACGTACTTGATAATGAATAGTATATAGTGTCTATAACACGCGTTTAAAATAAACGTAACCTTGAAATGTACAAATAAGGTTATAGTAAATGTTTTGGTATTTTTCGTTATTGTAGAAGTTTTCTTACTAGTTTAAAAGAGTTCTAATCTGATGAAAAAACGTAATGATATGAATTTGATCATTCAGTATACATTTTTTAAATATTTACACATTGCAGAAACATACTGTAAGATAACCTTACAATCACGGGCATATACATATATGTACATAATGTCGTGTATCATTTAATTCATAAAACGTTGATCAATTAGACGTTCTTGAATTAAGAAGTATAAAGATGTACATCATACTATCTATACGTTATTAAAATTATTCGTTGAATCTTAATAGTTTACGCTCAATACTAACCTAACAGTTCTTGAATGTTACTTATTATTCCTTATGATAAAGACATTTTCACAGATAAAATACATCGATTACATTACAGATCAGATTTATTTAATGAGCATTTACAGTTGGTTTTGATGATGGGGTCACTAACTTTAAACCCCAATTAAACGTAATTGTCTCATAAGAAAAAATTCCATTTTTCATGCTAACTTCTTAAAAATTATATTTACATTAACTAGTAACATAAATTATATTATATTCTGTGTTTTTTTGTTAATAAAATAATTATGTGAATTTTGTTTTTCATATCTTACATATAAGTATACATTATCTCAATTTTACCTGTTGGTCTGCAAAGCCTAAAATATTTATTTACTATTCAACACTTTGTGGAAAAAAGTTCGTGGACTTTTGGTGTATATGATCTATTAACGATGCTTTTACCACTATTTAAGAAATTACAGAAATTCTATAGTTTAAGAACATCTTTACTTAATATATTATTTTATCCACGAGGTACACATTCAAGCAAGGCTTAAATATTTAATACATTGTACAAGGTGCATTTGATAATTCACCTGCATTAAAAATCACAGAAATAAACATTATATGACGTACTTATTGCTGGAATAATCTTTATAAATAAACATTGGCAAGCTTTAAATCTTACTATTAATCTTTTCAGTTTTTATATTTATAAGTAGCTTAAAAGCTCTACAATAATTTAATTTATATACACAGTATATATTTTTCTTATTGTATTTTTTTTATAACTACAAAAACAGAAAGTTTATTATCAACAAATTCTAAACATTGTGGGATGATTTTTAATAATCCCTTGTAAAATTGAAGCTAACAATCACCTTCAATGGAATAATCATTGATTGCAAGTGTAATATGTTTACGAACCCCGAGGAAGTCTCTATGAATGAATAAAGTAATATTAAAAAATTTACAAATATTAATGGAAATGTTTATAAAAATGTTATTTACTTTATGCATATATATGTATTTAATATATGTATGTACCTATATTATACGTATTAGTGTATACAAGATTCATATACTTGAAAGTCCATCAAACTTCTACAAAACAATGTTTTGCAGAAGTTATTTTTAGAATGATTGATTCTTCCTAATAATTAATCAATTTATATGCCGAAAGAGACCACCTCATCGGGTTTAAACTTTTTAACAAGAAAGAAAATTAACTTTTAAACAAGACTGAGTGCAATGAACTGACACTCGATAAAATTAGATAACATTTGGTTGGTCTGGAATAAGTGAAGCAAAAAATGTGCTAAAGAATGTCCAAGTGAAAGCTAGTGCACCAGGCCTTTCTTCTTCGTGTTCTTCATTTGCGTTTGTTCTTGCCTCTGCTTGTACAGCTGGTAACTGACCATTTTGTTGCTGCTGCATAGGTTGAGGGCCGACAGCTTCATTTTGCCATGCTTGATTATTATTATCTACTCTGTCTACTCGGTCGTTATCAAATAATGGAATAGGATGACCTCGGAAGAAACCAATCTGATATCTACAAAGCATTTAACTTATTAATTTCTTTTTATACTGTAAAATCCATTAATAAAAAATATATATGTATGAAAACTTACAGATACATTACAAATCCAAGAAATATAACAATGAGAAATCTTAGTGGGGACGAATAAAAATATACTATACTGAAGAGAACAATAATTCTGGATAGCATATAAAAGAAATCTAGCCAATCTCTATCAAATGCACCATCTTCTGCAGCACCATTGTTTCCACCATTAATATCAGCATCTTGAGCAGCAGGTTGTTGCTGCTCATCACCTACATTATTATTGTTATTATTATTATTTGTAGTATTCATATGTAGATTTTGAACACTATCATTTGTATTGATATTCATTTGCTGAACATATGGAATGCTAGTTCGTACTTGAATTCCTTGTGCTGCCATTCTATAACAAAACACAGTATTATATTAGGTGACTGCTAATCTTTTGTAATCGAGATTTATAATTTAGCTGGTGGATTTTCAATTTTACAGGTAACAGATGCTGAAAATCTCATACTAAAATTTTATCTTGAAACAATTCTTTGTTTAATTTTAAACCTCTTATCATTAATGAGAAACAAATTTGGAGAATTACAATGAGAATATCACTTACAGTTGCATATACTGTGTAAAATAGTGTGTATATGCTTGTTGCATCCAAGCAATTTGTTGACTATTTCGTGGATCAAAATATTGTTGCGTAGAATATAGCTGAGTAGGAGACTGTTGTATGACAGCATTATTAATATCTTGACCCTGATTTTGTGCATCATTTCCAATTATTAATCTTATTTGTGCCAATGTGACTCTTTGATGATCTGTAGGTTCCGAGTCTTGCTCAGATGTCATTCTATTTGTAGTTGTTTTCTGTGAAGCACAAACTAAATGGACCGTATAAGCTCGATCTTCTTGTCCATCGTATTGTCTCAAAACATCTTTCAAACACGTGGAATCATTTAATAGTTGTCCTGAATATATAAGTTTTTGACTAGCTCTTTCCTAAAAATATATATTAATTAGAAATACAATCCATTCTTTTATTACAACTATACAAACCTGTATTTTTGTGTGATCTTTAAATATTATTTGTAAATTTATTGTTATTCTATAGTTTTGTGAATTAGGAATGAATAAATGAATTTAATCCATACAAATTAAAAACAAACATATCTGGTCGTGAACAAAAAGAAGTGTGATAACACATACAATTAGCAGTGATTAAAGTTCAATTATGAAAAAAGTTAATGTTGTAAAATATATTTTTTCGAAAATACTTAAAACACGAAAATTGTCCAGATTTATGGTTCCTTCAATTACTAATACATTTTACTTTCACCTAGAATCGAGATTACAGCTTTCACAAAATTTCACACAGTCGAGCTCATAAATAAAAGCAACGAAACTCACTGGTTTACTAGGATAAACTTCCGACAAATATTCTTTTAATCGGCCAATGGTCCATCCGATATCACATTCCACAACTTGATCTTTAATTTGCTGATTTGGCGCTTTTATTATTAATTTTACGGCAGCTTCTTCCATTGTCAGGAAACTTTTGCTTCTGCGTTTCTGGCGATCAGCTGGTCTTCTACTGTCAATTGTACGAACAGTGTTAATTAACAATGCTACCGAGGCACGTTGATATTTGTGTGACCTGAGATTTAACAATACGTTGCCGTATTTATTAAGTCGACCTATTAATTTGCACAAACTCTTCTATGTATCATTTATTTGGACACCGATTACAGACACTCATTGCTGATATAGCACTTGTATGAAACATGAACGGGCATTTAATCGCTGATATATTTTTGTAAGCGTCACTAAATGGAATCATATATTTGGCGAGTTATCATTGGTCGTAGATTGCAATTTATTTATGGTTCGATAAAATCCGATTTTCAAATATGTTTTCTTCGTTTATTCTACACTTATGCTGACATCGCAATCCATAGTAAAACTATTGGTTAGGGATAAATGTGATTTGTTGAAAACGAAGCTTGTGTTTTTGTTATATAGATAGAATATATATATAGTTCGTAGTTATGTTTTGACAATATCTACCAGTTGTCATGGTTTCACTTCCCCACAACCGTGCTTGGTCCCCCTGGCCCCTGGCCACGGGCCATTAGTATCGATGTGGGGACTTTCCCCTAGGCCTGGTCAGGTTGGCGCTACTGTCGCGTCGGCGTGGGGTTTTTCCAGAGATCACATCGGGGTCACCAGATGTGGGGATTGGTTTACTAATGATAGTATGCGTGATAGACGTATAACTTCTGAAACTTGTTTGATTTATTTAATACTATAATAATACTAGTTTTGCAGATATTAACTTCGCACGTAACGGCTCGTAAAATGAAGCGTCTCTGGTCTAAAACAGTTGCACGCTCGAACGTCGCACGCTCACCAATCTCTGAAAAAACCCCGCGCCGACGCGACAGTAGCACCAACCTGACCAAGCCTAGGGAAAAATCCCCACACCGACTCGGTTAATGGCGCCATCGGTGGGAAAAGGCCCAAGTTTATAGTGAAACTAGTTCCAACATTTACAGTAAGATAGCGCCACTGATATCTTTTAATTAATTATTCTTTATTTTTCATATATGTATAATTAATACGATTCTTTGTTTTATAACACTACAATCTTGCTTTGACGCTCACAGAACACATGACTTTTGTTGCTATGATTGGCTCACGTCTTTATCAGTTCAATTGGTTGTCGACTAGTACTTTTTACGTGTTCATTGTGCGCAATCGCGTGTAACACAATCCACAATCTGTCAGACAGTTCCACTTCCCCGCATCTGCGCTTGGCCCACCAGTTGTCATTAATTGTTATGTGAAACTATTGTTTCGATTATTTTATATTTTTTCAATGGTAATTCAAATACTTATGTTTATTGCTGAGTGTTGCATTAGAAGAAAGATAGCATTTATAAATATTTTCAATTTGCAAATACATTGAAATATTAATTCTTGTTTAGAATTCTGTACATTATTGCATCTGGGGCTCCTGTACGTCTGGAGAGTATTGCTGCGGAGATAATGTTTGCTGCAAGGAGACAAATTTTGATTCACTACTTTTAACGTATGTGTAATATCTTTTTTATTATAGAGTAATAAATTCCAGCATTTAAATAGTATTACTGATACATGTTAATAGGGTTATCACCTTTGGAATATTGACTGCATTGGCATTCTGCTGTCTTTGTTTTTACTGCAGCACTCGACGGATGTATGCTCCATTCTTCAAAAAATATTTAAAAATTAGCTATACTTTCATGTCTACACAGGGAGACAGTAAGTCAGGTTCTATGGTAAATCAGGATTCAGCAACAAAAGATTGTATTATACGAGTAGATGCAACAAAGGTTTCTCTATAATAAAGGTTGTTTGTGACTTTGTTAGTCGATACTTTGTATTATACCAATAACAAAGTTGAACAATGGAACTGTTTTATCTGCATCGTCTTTATCGCATTGCAAAATGGTCAAATGTATTCTTATTGAAAAGCAACAAAGATGTGTTTCAAGATTTGAAAATTTTTGTAAAAAGCATGTAGGTGCATTTTATATAGTCTAATACAGTGGATACTATTCATAATACATTTATACAGAAATAATGATTTTCTTACAGTTACCATTTTTGCATTATTACATTCCACTATTCCTGAGAATCCAATAATGGGATATTTTCTAATACTTTAAATAAATAATATTGCATTATGGATGAATTTTTCTTAAGTGTATCATAAAATTTTGCTCTAAGCAGTGTATTTCATGATATCTCATTATTGGTTTTCGGCAATGATATATCTGCAAACTATAGAACTGTATACTAGTAAAAGAGAAATATATTTTACAATGATGTAAATCTTGGTTTGTAATAATTGTGAATGATTAAATAATATTGCTGATTTGAAAACAATTTTCCTAATATTACCTTCCTAGATTAGATTTCTAGTTTGTCTTTATTTCTTCAACGAATAGTTCCTTTTGTTTCGGTTCTGTTACAATCACGTGATTTCATTTAAACATAGGAAATTTAGGCTTCCATCATTACATGAATTATGAAATATTACATAAATAGTAATAAAAATCGTTTCTAATAAATAAAATAAATATTGGATAATACTAATGTTACCAAGATAAAAAACATTATTGATTGTGTCCCCTGGCTATCAGTCGGTAACGTGTTAAGAAGGCTAGTTGTGTGGTAATACAGTATTGCGTTACTAGATGGCGGTGTGGAAAAAAGACAGAACAAGAAGAATACGATATCGACGTCTTTTCATTCTTTATTACCGATCGCAGATTAATTGATTCGATGAGTAATTCTCCGTAATTTTCTTCTGGTTTTAGACTTCTTATAATCTAGTCTACTGTAATAACTATTTGTTTTCAAATCAACTTGGACTTTTTCAGAAAAAAACTTTTGAGACAATATATTATCTTTTAATCATTTCTATTTTTACTACTATAATATTCTTTAACGCAACAGTTATTGACTGCTGTTCTCCCATAATAACAATTCTTTAACGTAGTTAATGATTAAATACAGATGCTTTACCGACTGGTAGCCTATTAATAGGATTTTTGCTAGGACAATCTTTGTTACCCACTATTAAAATAACTTTTTATGCTTTCATCGTTATATAAATATTAATCCAAAATGATTCTAATAGATAAAATAAAGATCGAATAGTACTAATGTTGTCAAAATGAAAAATATTATTACGGTCGGTAAAGTATGAAATGACGACGAACGTTTTGTAATTACACGTATTTACGTTAATCTCTATGACGGCCGCCATATTGTTCTTGTAATGCTTTGTGACGTCAATGGCTCTACCGGTCGGTTGAGACATGACTATGTGTATGTAGTCGTTAGAAAATCTCTACCGTGCAAAGGTGAACCCGCCAAAGATTTTCCTCTTAAACTTTAATATATTCCTTTGTTAAGTTGAACGCAATATAGATGTATAAGTAATATGCAACAGTAAGTAAATTCAACATGACTTTGAAGTTCAATCAAACGAAGCGATATTCCACGCGTGCCAATCTAATGGCTGGTTTATGTTGGTAGCCTTACAGTTGATGACGTCATTGTGAAGTTCCGAAATTGAAATCAATAAGTGGTGTGCAATGTTGTGTGCACATGACAGTCGGAGCGAAATGGTGATTATGTCAAAACATTCTGTCAGAACGTCTTGGTTTTTCTCGTTAAGACCGAAAGTGTGAATGTTTATAAAGAAGATGGCGCGGAACGCGAAGAAAAAGCTGGCGATATTCGTCGGAACGTCAAAGTGCTTGATATACGTGAGTTGCTCACTTTTCCCTCCGGCAACTTTACTTTGGCTATCATTTATTTTGAAACGTCCAACAAAGTGTCAATGATTGCTTGTTTCTTAAACTCATTTCTTCAATTCTTCGTTTCTTTCGAGTGTTGTATTTTCGGTGTTTGCGAATACGATCGATGTCATTGCGATTCGATTTTCGTTGTTCACCATTTATACACTTTCAATTTTGTTTTCTTTTTGATCGTATCATAGGTTTACTAAACGATTTAAAACAATAACTTCTTTTAGGCAGAAGCAAAATATTGTGCCTCTGAAATGCCTGGAGAAATAAAGTACTATGAGTGAGTTTTCCATATGTAAATATGTATATTTTATAAAGTAAGGATCCGAGTGTTGTATCGCGGACTAGCGACGTCAATGTTAAGGATGCTCGATACAAGTTTTTTTTTCTTTATTACAGAGTGCATCATCTTCTAAGACTGAGATTGTAAATATTTCCATTGTTTTACGTCAATACGAACAAAGTTTGAGAAAGGATCCATTCGAAAAATCGCTGTATTTTTCGCGCCGTAACTTTCGTAATTTTAAGGCAGCTCAAGCTTTCTTTCTTTCTTTTTTTTTTTTTTTTTCATGAAATTTATATCGTTTTGTAACAAATATAAAGAGTTAGGAAGATGAATCGAGGCGTATTACATCCTTTATAATTGAATGAAGAATTTGCAAACGAAACGTGTGCTGCATCATGCGATCGAAATCGTTACATCGTGTCACCTCTCTGTCTATATCGAAAAAAGCGCAAAGCTTGCAACGAAGAAAGCTTAAGTGGCCTTGAAATGTCCGATACAGTAACCTTGGAACTAAAGTAATTATGTTACATGCCCCTTCAGTCACAAGCACTTCTTCTTTCGAGCTGTCGTCGAATTATCAACAAAAGATATTTTAAACTTTAATCTGAGACGAGACACCCTCTATATTTGTGAATTCCGTTCCGTTAGCGGAACAGAAGATTACAAACATTTATCTTTATACGTAAAATAACAAAAACAAACAAATATGTATGACGATTATTAAAAATAAGCAGATCAAAACTAACTAGGTAATTATACAATTTTCCATTCTAGGTGTTCTAGAACAGAATATTGTTGTGGTATTGGCTGTTGTGTATCACCTGGACTGCATTTCCATCATTTATGGTATTACTGGTAGGTACACAATGAACTATCTCCGAAATATTGCTTGTCATATATTTTTTTTTAATTATTGTCTATGTAAAATTTATCGTGAATTCTCGTTTACAGGATACTGGTTATAATCATGTTCCTGGTATGCTCTGGTGGCGGTTGGTGGTATCGATATTGGTTGCAAGGAAGGTACAGAGCGGCCGCATCGGCCATTCCGACTAGAGCTTCCAACCCTCGAGCTCAAAGTTCTCTTCGGGGGCCGACTTGTCAAGTTCAGAGAGCTCGCATCACTTACGATTCGGCGAGGAATACCGTGTTGCTGCATCGTATGTGGAAAGGCTAGTATATCCTGACGATGGA